TAAACTACTAAATTTGTTTCAAGGTCGGTTATAGCATTCGGTTCGAAGAATGTTACAGCCCAGCTAAAACGCGTATCAAATACATGACTGATGGCATGTTGTTTCGTGAGACATTTACCGATCCATTACTAACACAATATAGTGTTATTATGATCGATGAAGCACATGAAAGGAGCCTTTATACTGATATCTTACTGGGAATTCTTAAAAAGTCCGCATATTTTGCTTTACTCTAAAAGTACCATGAAGATATATATCTTTTTAAAATATTATTTTGTCTTTGATTACTTAGAATCCTGAAAAAGCGACCTGAGTTGAGGATTATTGTTTCCTCAGCCACTTTGGACGCGGAAGCATTTTATGTATATTTTAATACAAATACAACAAATGACTCGACAAAGGACAATGCATCCATAATATCTTTGGAAGGCAAAATGTTTCCAGTCGATATACATTATATGAAAACTTCATGTTCTGATTACATGGAAGCTTCGATACAGACAGTCTTTGATATTCATGTTCAGGTTTGTTGGCATGCCCACCAAGAATAACAAGAGGCTATAACATTATTATTTTATATACGATACAATTATATCAAATTTTTCGAATTCTATATTAGCAACCTTTAGGAGACATTCTCATATTCCTGACTGGACGCGATGAAATCGAATTCGTTGTTGGAGAAATTTCACAAAGGGCAACAACGTAATAAATTTGAGATTTGAATTTAAATGTTTGTGTAATTTGATTAATTTCTAAAATTCTATTATTGATAGATTGCCGCGTTCGGCAATGAAAATATTGCCATTGCCCATTTATGCAGGTCTTCAGTTAGAACAACAATTACAAATTTTTGAACCCACACCATATAATACTCGCAAAGTTATAGTAGCGACGAACATCGCCGAGGCTTCCATAACTCTTGAAGGTATTGTGTACGTTATTGATTGTGGATTTGTAAAAGTATGTATTAATAAACTTTGATACATCGAAAAATACACTGTGCATTTTGCAATCCTTTTTAAATATAATGTATGTAAATTATTACAAGCTGCGAGCCTATAATCCGAGAACTGGAATGGAAAGCCTTGTCGTAACTCCAATTTCCAAAGCATCGGCTCAACAAAGAGCTGGGCGTGCAGGAAGAGTTGGGCCTGGTAAAACATACAGGTTATATACCGAAGATTCGTTTTATAAATTAGAGGATGCAAGCATCCCAGAGATACAAAGGTAAACTTTTAATTCATAAATATAAATTAGTATATGTTGATACGAAAATTGAAACAATTTTTAGAAGCAATCTTGCGCAAGTTGTACTCCATTTAAAAGCATTGGGAATTGATAACGTGTTAAGGTTTGATTTCTTGACACCTCCACCTGCGGAGCTAATGATACGCTCATTGGAGGTATGGTTACACAAAAATCGATATCGTAATATTTTTTTAAAGAATTATGTCTAATGCCTTGCAAGCTTTCTAGTTATTATATTCTTTAAAAGCGTTGGATGATCATGGACGATTGACAATGCCTTTAGGAATGCAGTTGGCAGAATTTCCAGTTGATCCAATGCTTGGCAAAATTGTATGAATTTAATCGCGGGTTGGTTATTTCTTACTAATTTTGATAGTTATTAACCTTTTCTGTTTGTTTTTTGGCAAAATTCTGCAGTTATTAGATTCATATAAATTTCAATGTGGTGAAGAAATGCTCTCTATAGCTGCAATGTTATCTGTTCAGGTAAATGAT